AGTGTAACTGTTTTCTTCATGTTCAGATCGTTAACCCGCCACCTTAGGTGTATGTGGCTGGCGCCTTAGCCGGTTGAGCTATAGGCGCCGAGCCGAGATGTACTTTTCACTATAAAATAATGTTATAAAATAATCGAAATGCTACAGTGGATTTACATTTCCTGATCTTTTTTTGTGTTGGCTGTTACACAATTTACTCTCACTTGTATTAAAAATAATTTGGATTACTTTAACAGCAGTGCAAGTCAATTTTTAAGGTCACTTGGTTTTATTGCAGAGATAAGGTTTTGTATACAGATGTAATAGTTTGTTTCTAAATAATATTCTCTCTTTTATACCTACACACCATTTTTTGAAGGTCTACCAAGTGACAGACTTAGTCCTGGGAACTTGGGATGCCATGTAGAATAAGACCTGATTCTTATCAAGGAGCTTCCAGGATACTGACTCATCTGACTATCTTTTCAAAATATGAATATCTGCCATCTTTTAAACTCATATATCTAGTGTACAGTGAGATTGGAAAAGTAATGCTTAACTATGCTTCTGTGTACTTCATATAGGTTGTTAAGAGCACAAAAAAGTAAAAGTTCATTTTCCCCAGGCATGCCTGCTATATGTAACATGCACTTTTTCAGGTAATGATCTTGACCTGGGAACAGCTCAGTCTTCCCACCACCAAATCCCCAGATACAGCAGCACCTTCCCCTCATTTTAGTCATTTTTCCTGACCTCAGCAGTATCTGACACACTCCATGAATCTCTCCCTTGCCATTTCCTGATTTCCATGATACCCCAGTCTCCTGATTATGTCATATTTTCTAGAACTTTTTGTCAGGTTTTGTTTTCCAGCTCCTCCTTTTCTACCAGACCTAGTAATGTGGGCAATTCTCAGAGCTCAGTCCTAATATTCTCACTCTCCCTCTGGAGCCACGTCACCTGGGTTTGAAAGCCACCTCCTCCACTTACTAGCTGTGTGACTCTGGGCAAGTTACCTAGCTTCTGTGTGTCTCCGTCTCATCGTCTATAAAAACATGGGTAATAATTTTACCCTTCTCATAGCCTTGCTGGGAAAATTAAATAGTATATTTGATACATGTAAGACACTTAGAAACATGCCTCGCACATAGTAGGCATTCAATAAATACTACTCATCATTATAGTTGAAATTATTAAGGGATCTCATTTATCCATATGGCTTTAATAACATCTGTATGCCCACAACTTCCACATTCATAATTTCAAAATTATTAAATCTAGTTAAAACCTTTTTTATAAGCTTAAAATCTGCATCTAACTGGCTCATTAACATCTTGAATTAGGGTCAGCGCCTGTAGCTCAGAGGGTAGGGCATTGGCCCCATATACTGAGGGTGGCGGGTTCAAACCTGGCCCTGGCCAAACTGCAACAAAAAAATAGCTGGGTATTGTGACGGGCACCTGTAGTCCCAGCTACTTGGGAGGCTGAGGCAAGAGAATCACCTAAGCCTAGGAGTTGGAGGTTGCTGTGGGCTGTGTGATGCCATGGAACTCTACTGAGAGCAATAAAGTGAGACTCTGTCTCTATTAAAAAAAAAAAAGAATATCTTGAATTAGGTGTTTTACAGGAATCATAAAACTTCTAACTTAATTTTCGATCTCTTTCTCTAAATTTAGCCTGTTTCGTCTATCAACTTGCTCATTCTAGAAACCTGGAAGCTAATTTCTCTTTAACCAGGTTTCTCTTCTTCATCATTTCATATGCAATCATCACCAGCTTTTGCCAATTTCGTCTCCAAAAGTACATCTTGAACTGCCTCTTTCTCATCTCTTCTCCACTGCTATCACCTACCCCAGGCAGCCGTCTTCTCTCACCTGGACTAGTGAATGACTGGCGGGGTGGCCTCATTATCAATACTTGGTGTGCTTTCATTCATTCTCCACAGAGCCGTCACCTGTTAGGAAGCAAATGGGAGCATGTCACTTCCTGCTTCCCCGAAGCATGTAATATTAAAATCTAAAGGCAAATACCCAGCATGCTCAATACTAAGATGAGACCAATAGATAAACAACTACACTCCCACACCAGAAAAAACATAATTAAATTCAAGTAGGGGGAGGGAAGGAGAGGAAAAAGGGAAGGGGCTTGGTAAACTCTCCCGTAATTGGCACAATGGAAGGACACGCAGCACACTTCCTGGGTGAAGGGCTCAACTACCACTCGCCTAACAAACACAAACAATGGAACCTAATCATTCATACCTTTAGCATTGGTCTGGGGAAAAAAAATCCTGCAAAAATAAATAAATAAAATCTAAAACCACTACACTGGCCTACAAGGTTCTGCATGAACTTCTCTCTCCTGCCTCGTCTCAAACTACTCTCTTCCTTTCTTTATCTTCATTTTTCTAACTTGAAAGCTCTTCCGCACATCAGGCTTTTACCCAAGCTTTTCCCTCTGCCTGGAATATTCTTCCCTCCACTCTTTACCTGGCCGACTCCCACTCAACCTTTAGAAACCTTTCAATGCTACTTCCTCAATGCCACTCTATATTACAGACCTGTTATTTTCTTTCATAGCACCCTGCCTTCTTTCCCTCTTAGACTTACCATGATTTGTAAATATGTTTATTAATACGATGAGCATGACTATAAATTCCAAGGGGGACACTGTTTTGTCCGTGATTATTGGCATAATATATGCTCTCAAAAAATATTTATTGAATGATTGAATGGATGAATAAATAAACACAGTTATTCTAAAGATGTAGTAAAGAAAAAAAATGGTTTAAAAGAGTTTCTTAGTAATTCATCAAGAACAAGCTATTTGGGAGATATATAATTTGTTGCTGGGGCTATTCTTTTATTTTGTGTGCCAGGAAACATTCAGATGAATACCCCAAGGAAATCAGTGGGCAGAAGTGAGCAGGAGCTAAAGTGGGGCTTTAGCCGAATAAGCTCCGGAGGCTCCTTTTCAGTGATGGGAGTTCCACCCAGCTCCCATCCTGATGTGTTTCCACCATGCAAAATTATTGACCTGGAAGCTGTAAAAGTGGAAGAGGAGGTGACCCTATCTTGGACAGCACCCGGAGAAGACTTTGATCGGGGACAGGGTATGTTTGCCCATTTCATTACCTATTTTCCACAAGACAGCCCTTCTAACAACTATGTCCGGGGTTAGTTGGATGAAATTAGCTTTGTGGGGAGGGTTAGAACTGAAGAATCTGCAAAGGATTGTCATGAAAAGCTCTGAGTTGCTGATAAAGCCTTCAATCCTAGAGTGCAGGGAGAATGAGTCAGCTGCCCCAGGATTTAAGGCGCTCTGATTAACTCACTGACACTAATCATCCAGAAACCTGGATAGGACCATAAATAACCATATACATGACAGTCTATTCAGCAGAAATGGGTTCTGTATTATAGAGCATGTGCTTCCCAATACTGCAGACAAGTATTTTTCTGAAAATTGGAGAGTGAATATTTATTCATGTATTTATAAGTCAGGTTTAGGGGAACATTTCCCATAACTCTTGCAAACTTTGGTGCACTTTTCTCCCCCGCTTCTGGCCACCATGTTTATTAAGAAGGCTGGGATCAGCACTCGAATTCCAGGCTTCCCTATCCTTGCCTGGGTAAACATGTCGAAGTACCTTGCTTCTACTTTCCTTTTGGTAAGACTTCTGTTAACTCTCAGGCTTCCTCTTAGATTATCTTTTTCCAGATTTTTACTCAATTGTTACAACATCATTTATTGAGAAATTTTTATTCTCCCCCACTAGTTTGAATTCCACCTTAATCATATACTAAATTCCTGAATTTAGTTTGGCCTACTTTTGTATAGAAGTCTATTGATGCACCTGTCCCACAGTGCCTTAATTATTGAGGCATTATAGTGTTTCCAGATCTGGTAGATTTGGTCCTTCCACACTACTATTTTTTAGACTTTACATGTTTATTTTTACAAGTTTATTTTCTATATAAACTTTATAATGAGTTTGACCTGTTAAAACAGAAAGTAGAGGTGTTTTTAGTAGAATCACATGAAATTCACAAGATAACTTAGGGAAAAACAATATCTTTGCTGTATTGAATCTTGCTTTTCAAAAAAAATAAGTCCTCTTGTTCACATTTTAATATGAGTCCTGGTGTGGTGTTTTAAAGTTTTGCTCATACTCAGATTTCTTATCAGGTTTATTCCTAGGTATTTCGACTACTGTATTGCTATTCTTATTAGTCATTTTTTTTTTTTTTTTTTTTTTGAGACGGAGCCTCAAGCTATCCCCCTGGGTAGAGTGCCATGGCATCACGCTCACAGCAACCTCCAACTCCTGGGCTCAAGCGAGTCTCCTGCCTCAGCCTCCCAAGTAGCTGGGACTAGAGGCACCCGCCACAATGCCTGGCCATTTTTTGGTTGCAGCCATCATTGTTGTTTGGTGGGCCCGGGCTGGGGATTCGAACCCACCACCTTAGGTGTATGTGGCTGGCGCCTTAGCCGCTTGAGCCACAGGCACCGAGCCCTTATTAGTCATTTCTAATGAGACTCAAAGAGACTTAACTTTTCCATTTTTTCTATTTCAGCTACAAGCTATGAAATAAGAATGAGTAAAAGTCTACAGAATATTCAAGATGACTTTAACAATGCTATTTTAGTGAATACATCAAAGCTAAGTCCTCAGCAAGCTGGTACCAGAGAGATATTTACATTTTCACCTAAACTTCTCACAAATGGACTTGAACATCAACCCAATGAAGAGACACAAGAAAGCCACAGAATTTATGTGGCAATACGAGCAGTGGATAGGAACTCCTTAAAGTCTGCTGTCTCTAACATTGCCCAGGCATCTCTGTTTATCCCTCCAAATTCTGCTCCCATACCTGCCAGAGATTGTCTAATATTGAAAGGAGTTTTAACAGCAGTGGGTTTGATAGGACTAATTTGCCTTATTATAGTTGCAACACACTATACTTTAAACAGGAAAAAGACAGCAGGTAAGAAAGAGAATGGGGCAAAATTACTATGAACAAATGTACAGAATACCTTCCTTCTTAGATATAAGACTTACAATCTTTGTACTTTTTCCAACGACATGGAAAAGATAGCATGGCAGTCCCAAGTGAGAAGGTCAAGATAACGTCAAAACTGTATTAAAATGCATTGAGTATTTTATAATACAGATCAGAATCCCACTATGGTAAACGAATAAAAGATTCCTTTATAATACTCATTTTACAGGGAGAAATTAGAAAATTCTAGACCTTGGCTATGGAATAATAATAATAAATTATTCTTCAAAGTAATACCTTAAAAGCAAGTAAAGGGCAATGTTGAATCAGAGTCAAGAAAAGCTCATTGTATTGCAGTGGAAAATCAGCCCCAAGTGTAGAAAAGGGGGTTAGGTCTGAATTATGCAGTATAACTGTCTATATGAAGTAAGTGAAGCAATCATTTACTTACTTTGAAAATTTTTCATTTCTCCTTATTTATACAGAATAGGTTGCTTGTTTACAGCTAACAATCAAACTGCATTTTTTTTTTTTTTTTTGGTGAAGCCCCTATCATAATCTTCACCTCTTGCCATTTGGTTAAATATGCCACAGATCAAATCCACCACTAGTGTTCAAAGATCTTTTTTTACTATAAGAGGTAACCTTAAAAATATGGGTATTATCTTTGTTCCTTCAAACTGGTTTTATAACAAAGTGTATTGAATTCATTGTTTATAAGATTCTGCTCCCATCAAAATAGCTTTCTAAGTTATTTACCAAGGGCAGGGGATGTAGAAAGCACAGGTCATAAGGAAATAAAAACCAATCTTTCATTTAATTTTACTTCCTTTTATTTTTCTAAAGACTATTAAATAGAATCATTTGCTTTTTAAAGACCTTAAAATTTTGATGAATTAATACAAACCATAATGTATAATAGATAATAAGTTTTATAGCCAGAACCAATTAAGAATAAAAATTAGATTATGTTTTGGGGTTATAGAGAGGGAAATGTAGAAAATTGGTACAGGAAGAAAAAGGCAGCATGAAGTCCCAAGGGAGAGACTCAGAAGAGTGCTGAGAAGGAAAAGACCATCAAATCTCTTTAACAACACCTCCTTGTAGCTTATACTATATAGCCCGTGTTTGGCCTGTTACCGTCTAAGACACAGTGCCTAAAGTTTTGCAGCTGGGAGATTTAACACGCTTGCAGCCCACTTCCTAGCTGGAAAGTCAGTCCCTCTTTCCTCTATCACAATCATGCCCATTAGCCTGGAATTTGTTACTCATTAATTTCAAATTTGGCTGGTGAAATACAGAAACAGGGTGTGGTTTCATGTCCTCAAATATTTTCCTCATTTTAAAAAAAGGAAAATGGAGAGTTAACTGAGTAATACAGAGTTCTATTCTGATTAATGGCATAGCTACACAAAAGTGGAGCCAGTTTCTCAGACAACTCCTGTCTAGTTAAGAAAATGTCAACAGATTTTACCAAGGGATATTTAACTCTTTCAAGGGAGTTGAATCTAGGGATTTTACCAAGAAATATTTAACTCTTTCAAGATCAATTAGTGGGAAGGCAAATGTAGCTTTAAAGGAACTTGGTGGGTTTTTTGTTAATCTTGTTTTCCATTTTGTAGACTTAGTAATGGAATAAATGGACTAAGTCTAGGAATTAGTTAAGTGTAAGAGGCAAAACTATGGAGTCTAAAGGTATTAAAGCAACAGATAAATATAACAGGGTGGAAAGGGCCAAAAAGTGGGTCAGGTGAACAATGTTCTGTGGCTGTGAGGACTGAAACCATTAGACAACAAGAAAGATGTGGTAAACATAGGAAAACAACAGATTTAGAGATCCCAGCAATAGATAGAACAGAGTCACTGTAAAGGCCCTGTTGGTGCAGAATAAATGATAAAAAAAAAAAAAATAGAAACAGGAGAATCGGGCCAAATAAAATGAGGAACTATAAAGCACTGGTCACTTCTAGAATACCACATAGTGACATCATTGAAGACATGAGCTGAGATTATATGAAAACAAAATTGTAGGCCAGATGCATAGTGAGACTATCTCAAAAAAAAAAAAAAAAAAAGAAAGAAAAAGAAAAAATCATGAAAAAGCAAAAATGACCTGTGAGACAATTATCAAGACTTCTGAGACACTACTGTAAATGGGTCTTAGAGAAATAAAGAAGAGAGAAAACAGGACATAAAATATTAAAAGAAATATTTAAATTTTATTTTATTTAAACTATCAATGGACAGATCTAAGATGTTCAAGTGAACCTAAAGTAGGATCTATACAAAGCAAACAGCCAGGCATATCATAGATAATGGTGAATGACTGAGGAGAACCAACTGAGGCCACAAGATGATAAGATGACTTCTTTTTTTTTTTTATTGAATGGTAACTGTGTACATTGATGCACTTTGGAGGTACAGTGTGGTGTTTTCACACACAATCCAAGACACTTCCATCAAGATAAGATGACTTCTTAAAGTGCACAAAGAAAAATCTGCCAACATCAAACTGTATCAAGCAAAAATAACTTTCAAAATTAAGGCAGCTAATTAAAGGATGTATGTTGTAACCCCTTTAGTATCCATTAAAAACAGAGAATGGCATATCTAAAAAACTAATACATGTGATAAAATGCAACACTAAAACTACCCAATTAATCCAAAGGAAGACAAGAACAATAAAACAAAGGACAGAAGGGAATAACATAAAGAAAATGGTAAAATTTGGGAGGTGCCTGTGGCTCAGTGAGTAGGGCGCCGGCCCCATATACTGAGGGTGGCGAGTTCAAATCCAGCCCTGGCCAAACTGCAACAAAAAATAGTTGGGTGTTGTGGCAGGTGCCTGTAGTCCCAGCTACTTGGGAGGCTGAGGCAGAAGAATTGCCTAAGCCCAGGAGTT